TCCAAGAATCGCTGTAAATTGAAATGTTCCTGGACTCTGATCTGAAAATACAGAAATAAAGTCAACACTTTTGATTTAGCAAATCTGAAATCGTTGACTAATAGAGGAGGACTTCTGTTTACGAACGATATGCAATATGCTACCAAAACTTTGGCTTCCCCGCACATTTTTGAATTTGATACAAAAGGAACGACACGAACCTATTTAACGGTACAATAGATAAAGATTATTAATAAATTCGACAAATATTGCATCTGCTGTTGGAAAATGGTATTTGCCACATTTTTTTTCAAATTTTTTATCTTTGCACATCTTATATAAAAATTATATCTGATTATTGAAGGCTGATCAAGATTCAAATAAAAAAGTCACAAAACTCGAGCCGACTGGGACAGTTCTTCCTCATGCGCTAGGTTTGTTATCTTCTCATTTCTACATTTAATCTAATGTTCTTAGATTATTTCCTAAGTTAGATGACTTTGTAGATAGATGCTACAAGTAATTTCAAGCAACCTAATAAATCAACTCATGGCCTATGCTCCAATGAAAAGCTCACAAATAAAAAGAAAAAATGCATTCTCTTATTTATCACTGACACTAGTTCCAAATTACTCGCTTAATTAAAGTATAATATTCGAGTATTAAACTTGTAAGGAGTTGGTAACCATATCCTGCTGGCGTTCATCAACAATTTGATCGAAATTTGATGCGACTTCTATCTTTGTTTCTTCTGAGGCAAACCTATGAGGAGTTGAGCATATGAATATACTACGAAATTTTACTTGAAAGGAGTAAAGGTGATGGAAAACATAAATAGTGGTGTTTATCTGTTTCTTGATAAATGAAAAAACACCTCTTTACGTTTTTTTAAAAAAGGTCCGCAAGAAATTGCTCAAATTGAGTTAAATCCTTCCGAGCAAAAGATCGCAGAACCGGGAAGTGTTAAGTCCCCGAAGACTGAAGATTATGACTGGTAAAGAATGAAACATGCTGCTATTTTGTGTAATATCATTACTCATTTTAGGACCATTTTCACTATTCTAGTGTTTGTCGCCGGATCTTTGATACTAGTAGTTCCTGTAATGTCGATTATCACTTTGATGAAGTATAGACAGTACGAAGCCTTGAGCAGCGTTTCCGATGATGGAAAACATAGGAGCGACCATGTAAACGATGAGAAAAGCTCATTCATCGAGAGGAGCAGCAGTAGTGGAAGAAGCTATTGACGGGAAAAGAAATAAAACAGAAAGTGAATGTTTGCTAATGTATCAAACCCTTTTTCGCATTAATAAAATCCACTTACTTCGCATGTAGCATGAGATAAAGTAGATAAATTCATACTTCTTGCCCAGGGCAAAAATTCTTCATTCAAATACGATCATAGGTTAGATACATAGAGCCACGGCTCTGGTCACCTCCACTAAT